AGTGCAAAATATAGCCCTCAGAAGAGCGGCAAAACACCACCCACCATACACACAAACAGCACAAGACATACACACAGAACACGGCATAGACCCACTCAACACCAGAATACACACCCAAGCAAATGCCATATGGGAACAATCCAGCAAGAACAGGATCCCATACTAAACAAACTACTTGAGGAAAACAACAGCACATCACACGGATGGTGGCCTAGAAGCAGGAAAAATGATAACGAAGAACCAGAGCCTCTATATACAAACTAGAAAAGAACCAAAAGATGGGCACAACTCTCCAGTCACACAAGGACCTGGAGGGACCCCACAAATAAACAAAGACCTAAATAGTTCACAAACACCCACAATAAAAAACTAAAAACGAAAAAGATGGGGATCATCCCTCTAGTGCCACAAGGACCTGGAGGGACCCCCCCCCCTATCATAATATGCCCCAAGGAAACATCAAATAGAACAACTTAGCTCAGCTGGGCTGAGACCGGCCTTCCCTAACCGCATGAGCCCTCTAATGCAGCACTGTTGACGGAAGACAAAAAACCCGTCTCCGCAAGGTGGATAGCCCACCTGCTGTTAACCTCCTTCTCTATTTCCCACTTCTGAACTTTACCTTGTACTGTACCCTTCTTGCACCCTCAGAGCTAATGCTCTCTTCTCTCCGTATCACCGACCGACCGACCGAAGAGGATTCTTCTCAATGCTCTCAAACAGACAAGACCGCCTCTCAACTAGCTCCTCACCACACAGCAACTCCCTAGCACTGTATTGTACATATAATATATATATATATATATATATATATATATATAGAAAACGCCATAGTGAGTTTCCCTTCTCACCTCCATCCTTAGTGCGAGATCTCCTACATAGCCTATGCTACAAATGGTGACCTACGAAGTAAAGCGCTCACACAGGATAGATGAGAAACGGATCACTCTTCCAGTCTTCAATCACAACATTGAAGACTGGCTAATCCACATGGAGGCAGCTCTCATCGGCTCTACAGCTACAGACGAACAGAAGTACATCGACTTGATCTGTTCCCTACCCACAGAAGTCGCCACACTAGTTTCAGAAGTCATCACTAAGCCCCCAGATGACAACAAATTCACAGCTCTACGAGACTCTCTCAAGAGGCGATACCAGCGGCCTAACACCAGTGTCCTGCAAGACCTATCTGGTCTCTCCCTCGGCAACTCAACGCCTGCATGTCTCTGGGACGAGATGCGGAGACTGAACTCCCGCCACACAGACAGGCTTCTTGACACTATCCTGCCGCAGCTTCACACTCAGAAGCTCCCTGCAGAAGTTCGCCTCGCCCTGTCCGCACTGGACTACTCTACAACCCCGGCGGCCTACGCAGCCACGGCAGACAGAGTATTCCATGAATACACTGCTGTGCTCTATGCTGCCGCGGACAACTCAGCGGCCACACCGTCACTTTCCTCCGATCTTGTCAACCGGATCAATGCTCCTCAGACGAGCAACACCTCACAAGACATGAGGATCCTGCTACAGTCTCTACACTGCAGGATGGACACCCTCGAGCAGCTCTGCTCCTCCATGCCTGCTGCTGCTTCTGTTCCTGCCCCACGCACCGCGTCCTACCGACCCCGACGTCTTCGTCCTGCCTCAGGCACCGCCGCCAGCTCCCAGCACAGTGCACCTACCCTCTGCTGGTACCATCAACGCTTCGGTGCTAACGCTAGACATTGTGAGGCTCCCTGCAACTACTCAGGAAACGGCATCGACGGGGATTGGTAGACACCACAACCTCCGTCACTTCAGGCGTCTCACTGCTGCATATCACCGACCGCATCTCCGGCAGGAAATTCCTCATTGACACAGGAGCATCGGTCAGCATCATCCCTCCCTCACTGCAAGACACATCAAAGCAACCCTCATATGACCTGTTCGCTGCCAACGGTACCTCCACCGCCTCCTACTGCACACACATCGCCTTGGCTTAGACCTTGGTCTTCCCAAGACTCTGCGCTGGTCCTTCGTGGTGGCAGATGTCTCTCAACCCATCCTTGGCTTCGACGTCCTCACCTTCCACAAACTCGTCGTCGACCCAAGCAACCTCTGCCTCGTCCATGAGCCTACAGCACACACGATCCGGAGTACACGTGCCGCAGTCGCCGACACTATCACCTGTCTCTCGCCGTCCAACGAGTTCTCCTCTCTGCTCAAGGAACTTTTCTCACCCCCGAGTCTCCACCACCACCTACGTCGGGAATCTTCCACCACATCGAGACTACAGGACCTCCAGTCTTCTCACGAACCTCGCCGCCTTCGCCCTGAGCTCCTGAACGTAGCCAAGGCGGAATTCAACAAACTCCTGCAAGACGGCATCATTCGACCTTCAAAGAGTCCCTGGGCATCTCCTCTTCACATGGTTCCAAAGCCATCATCCAACGACTGGAGGATATGTGGTGATTACAGAGCCCTGAATCTCGTCACCAAACCTGACAGGTACCTTATCCCGCATGTCCAGGACTTCCACCACAAACTCCACGGCAAGACCATATTCTCGAAGATCGACTTGGAGTGTGCCTTCCATCAGATTCCTGTGGTTCCTGCAGATATCCAGAAGACAGCCCTAACCACTCCGTTCGGTCTCTTCGAGTATGCCTACATGAGTTTTGGATTACGCAATGCAACTCAGCGAAGTTCCTGACAATCATTCGCAATGGCAGATACGACACCGTCAGCATCGATCGAGTGAAGCCGGCCACCTTACCCGATGGGCCCCCAGCCCAGCATTACCCCCAACAAACCACATCTGCACCAGTCTGCCCACAGTTGCTACTTGCAGCACCACCTTATCCACAACATTTTTATGTGCCCTTTTTCATTCTCAGGTACCTACCGCTCCTGAAGGGGATCATGCACCTCGCCCTGTAGACTCAGACATCCCACCCAGCGCCCCCAAGGACTGTGCACCTGCCGCCAAAAAATCACCACATTCCCCCAGCAAACCACGCCTCCCCCCTCCCTTTACCTGTCTGGTCACCATTGCAGTCCACAACACCCTCTTTTCTTCCTCGGATACTTACTGCTCCTGACCCTGCTCCTGCATCCGGCCCTATGGACACCCCACCCGGCGCCCATGAGGACCTTGCACCTGCCGCGAGAGAAGCAGCACATTCTTTGCCTGTTCAACCTTCTCTTAGCAACAACCCTCCTTCTCCCTTTGCTTCTCCCCCCCCCCCTAAAAAAACAGCTTGGTAGGCTCGTCATGTTACCCCACCTACAACTTCTTGGACCCCCTTTTGATATTTCTGGATCCGCCCTTGAAAGGTTGGCAGGGCGGGGAGGTGAGTAGGGTATGCAGATTGGCAGGGCGAGGAGGTGGGTAGAGGAGGACGTGGGTAGTGAGGCAAAGACACCATGGTGACACTGACAAGCAAGAAATGTACAGTGCATTATTGATTTATACTGACAGGCGACTCCAGTCGAAACTGAGTACCACTGTATCATTGGCTAGGGTGATGTCGCGGTCAATTTCTGTGAGTGATGACACGACACTGCCTTTGGGGTTTTATCTCCCGAAAGACAGAACGCGGACACTGACGTGTTAACGGCGGGAGCAGCATTTTGAACAGTGGTGAGTTCACAAATGGTGAAGAGGAGAAAAAAATTTAATGACACCTAGCTGTTGCCGTGTATAATGGAATGCACGTCTATAGAGTAACGTCGAAAGCTCAGTTTAGCAGCAATTATTTTCCTATAAAGAAATAGTATGTCTCTAACTTGGACTAGTGATTGGTCAGAGATCACTCGATAGGTCACGCCACATTGGCGTCGCCACTTCAGAATTTACTCCCAGATTTGTCATTATCTGTTTTCAAGGAAATTCAGATATCTCTGCTGTGTTTGTCCCAGTTATTAATAGCTTATATTCAAGGCCATGTATGATAATCCAAAATGGAAAAGCTGTTTATGGATATGTATGTTTCTTAATGACTTACTGTAATATTTTTCATTATACAAATGCCATGGATAAGCACATTCTCTGAAAATAGAACTTTACTATTTTAGCGTAACTTCGTCCGGTAAATATTACTTTTATCCTCTTCACCACTAACTGGCTCCTTAGCGGAAATATTTTTATTTGTGTATGTAAGTAGAAGATTCATATCAAAGTTTTATATCAATACTGTGTAAATTCAAAGTTAACGATGCATGCCCAGTACCTGCCAACAGTGCGTAACAGAGAGCCAGTACATGACTAGTACTTGCCAATGGTGACCGGATAAAACCCCAACGACAAAACCCCAGTCTCATATATAAAATAAAAAATAAAACACTTTTATGTTTAGGTTAGGTTAGGTTAGTGTTGACAAATGACAACCCCGTTGGGGTTTTGTCCGTTGGGGTTTTGTCATGGAACCCTTGCCAATAGTGCGTGACAGAGACGTGACCGATCGCCCAAGTGGCTAACGAGCCGATCAGTGGTGGTGAGGATAAAAGTAAAAGTAAAAGTATCCCATTTATACTCTGCAGGGCAATTGTGCCGAATGCTGATTTATTATATGTTTCTAAAATAGAAAATAATATTTTTATGAAAATGCATTTTATAAACACACGTGGGATATGTATCTTCAGAATTTGAATATTGGTGATCATGAAAACTTTCTGTTGCTTTTTTTTCGCTTTTCAGAAAGACCATATGTGGTCGTGCGCGTGGCACCGCTGCAGGGTTTGTTTGGGTGCCAGCCTGCCAGGATCAGCTGATGATCACGTGCCAGAATCTGCCGATGGAGTCTTCAATAGTTTGATTATTTATTTACCAAGATTCATTGATTGAAGGTGATTGATTATTATCCCATATTATTTTACTTTTTTTAAAAGGCATAATAATAATAAAATAAATTATAGCCCTCAAGCCATACAATTTAGTTTATATTCCGATTATCCTAAAGCCGAAGTCAGGGTCAGAAAACGGATATAAAGTTAGACGGTTATAAAAAGGAACGCGATGAGCTTTTGAAGTCTCTCGAGTTATGGTCCATCGCTGAGGCGGGTGTGAAGTGACGGTATCCAGAACGTCCAAACACGTTACAGGTGTGAGTTGTAACGAAAATGGCATCCCATAAACGTCCCGCTGCAATGTCAGGTAATGAAATATTAGGCTTGTTTTTGCGCCAAATTTATATTTTTCACTTGACATACAACACCCATGATGGGCTGTGAGTGCACTGTTGCATCATCAGGTTATTTAAAAATAGTACAGGATTTAAAACTGGATATGTCACTTGGTATAGTAGAATGTTGTTTTAATGCTTAATGAGTAAACATTATTACCCTACCACCTTATTAAAAATCTGAACTGATATGTTTGTCATAGGAAACGTCTTATTAAAATCACTAAATAATCTCATCATTTCTTATGATCATTGTTAATGCAGGTCACTCAGGAGGTCCCCATAAAACAAGTTGATTCCCACCATTTACTACTGTCCTCTGCCCACCAAAATTAAAATAAAGTAATGGGCTATACAGTTCAGTAGTATGTTTCATTATATTTTGTCGGGTTATACTGCAGTATGTTAAGTTTGAAATAAGACAAAAAATATGTTGTACATTTTCAATATTGTCTATGCTACTTACTATATCTACAGTATATGTTACAAGTTCTTATAAGGTTGTTTTGAAGTCATGGATGAAGAGATTTTATAGTTCATGAAACATTTAACAGCTATATATTATTTTGATTTTAAGAAGCATGATCACTTTATTGGTTAATTTTTTACCTTTTTACATTCATTAGACCTGAAAACATTACCAGTGTCTCCCCAAGTTTGCTCACTACCCATAATGAGTCCCTCTCCACCCCCCTCCCATCCTCATGTTTAATAACCTGGGTACAGCCTTAAACTGAATATAGTATTATCCACAGCTCGGTCACAGGAGATTCACCAAGCGTTACAAGAACGTATCTTGGTGATCGATGGAGCCATGGGTACCATGATTCAGCGCCACAAGTTGTCAGAGGAGGATTATAAAGGAGAAGAATTTAAAGACCATGAAAGCCACCTGAAAGGCAACAATGACCTTCTCTCTCTAACAAGACCACAAATTATTCTTGAAATACATAAAGTAAGTTTCAGAATCATAAGAACATATTGTGTTGTGACCTGACAGTAGTCATAGTTATTCAGTAATTAGTTAATCATCATACAGGTACTTGCAAATTAGAAAGATGATGTATTGTGTTGGTTGTGATGTGCTGAACTCTTCAGTTTTTACCATAATTCTGAAAACTGAAGTATGCACGTATGTAAAATATATAAGTACAGTTAGTTTAAAAGGCTGTGAGAAATACTGTAGTATTGTTATTAAAGTTGACATAATTTAAAATACAGTACAGTATAAGCATTCATAGGGTTCTGTCCTCGGCCCCCTGCTATTTGTCCTTTTTATCAATGACCTGCCTGAGGCAATTTAACACGTCTGAGGTATATCTATATGCGGATGACACACAGATTTTTAGGAAAATAGAACAAGATGATGATTGTGACACACTGCAGGAGGACCTGGATGGGATCAGGGGTTGGACTGAGAAGTGGATGCTGAACTTTCACCCAGAAAAAAGTAAATACGTGAGGATAGGAAGAACAGAAGTTGCTGACCAGGGATATCATATGTACGCCACGATCAAGGAGACCACTGTAGAAAAGGATATGGGGGTAGTCATCGATGATAAGCTGACTTTCTCTGACCATCTAGCTGAGAAAATCAACAAGGCTAATAAAATAGTGGGCATTATAAGAAGAACTTTTGTTCATCTGGATGCACCTATATTCAAGGCTCTGTACACTGCGCTGGTTAGGCCACACCTTGATTATGCTAATCAAATTTGGTGCCCATATCTCATTAAGGATATTGAAGCAGTAGAGAATGTACAGAGGAGGGCTACCAAATTTGTACCACAGATCTAAGATTTATCTTATGAGGAAAGACTAAGGAAATTACAGTTACCGACACTGGCGTACAGAAGATCTCGTGGGTACCAAGTGGAAACATACAAGATAGTGTGTGGCATTTATGACCAGGCATGTACAGCAGGAATGTCCCAGATGAGGGAGGCTGACACTACACGGGGAAACACAAAGAAGGTCTACAAAACAAGAGCGAGGCTAAATCTCAGAAGACATTCGTTCCCGAGTAGGTTGTCAACAACTGGAATGGGTTACCTGAGTGGGTAGTGAATGTGGAGAAGGTGGAAAAGTTTGAAGCAAAATTAGATAATACTGGAAAAATCAAGACCAAGTATATAATTATAGGGCACAAATATCCGCCACACACAGCCACCGTCTGAGTAGAGAAGAGGCTATTGAGCTGGAGTCACAGGCTTGAGCCTCTTCCAGATCATCTGTGAGTTACCATTACACATAAAATACAATAATTTGGCTGTCAGGTATACATTATCACAGGCTTTTGAATAGTCTTCTTTCTTATGCTGCAGGCATACCTAGAAGCTGGCTCGGACATTGTTGAGACAAACACATTCAGTGGAACTTGGGTAGCTCAGGCAGACTACCACCTGGAACACATCTGTTACCGGTAAGTTGTACCTTATGAGCTACTATAGCATGCGGTCTACAAGATATTTAGGTTAAGTTAGCTTAGATTAGGTATGTTTGGACATTGGGTCATGACCCCTGGAAGTTTGGGCCAGGGTGGTTAGGACATTTGGGTCATGGGCCAAAGTAATATAAATAACAACATAATAATCTAACCTAACCTGAAGATTCCTGACAGGAAGGTTCTTCGGGTTATTAAAGGGATTCTAATTTACTGTCAAAAAATTCTTGGTCAATGGTCCAAACTTCCACCCTACATGGCCCAAACATCCAAATGCCATTTTACTTTTATCCTCTTCGCCACTGATCGGCTTGTTAGCCGCTTGGGTCACTCTTTTACTCCTATTTGTTTGTGTATTAATTTAATGTATTTGAAGCCTTTTCTATGCTTTAGGATGTGTAAGGTATTTCAGTCTGAGTTATATGTTATTCTTAAGGCTGTGGTCTGCTTCGTAAAATGTTATATAAAAATTTCCTATTTACATGAAGTTCTTACAGATATTAAATTGTACAGTATTTTATTGTTGATGTGCCCAGGCTTAACCTTGAATCAGCACGACTGGCCAGACGGGCAGCTGATGAAGTTACAGCAGCCACAGGGAAGCAGCGTTTTGTGGCTGGTGCCATGGGCCCAACCAACCGAACACTCTCTATATCACCTTCAGTTGAACGTCCAGATTACAGGAATATCAGTAAGTTATTTTTGTATTCGGTTCAAAGCAGAGATGCTTTGGTGCATAAGTTCTAAATCATAATATTCGTCTGGAGAATGGCTGCTGATTAAGATGCATTTTAGCTTATAGAAAGAAGACTGGTTACTAGTACTACAGTAAGTTGTTGTGAGTGTTCAAGCCAGATGTTACATTAGGTGTATTGCCAGAGCGATGTAAGTCATTAAAGCGAAGGGAGATTTTCTTGTGCAGGCACTTGCATTGCATTCAAGTTATAATATAATATGCAAATGCTTTATGTCAAATTTATTTCATAATCCTCTAGAAAACTTTTTATTTTAATTGATACTTTTGTAAGAATTCAGAATCTTAAATGACATATCAAACTTTGAATGAAAGTTAAATTCACGTAAACGTCGAAGGAAAAGATCTAAGACCTTCGTGATTTTTTTTTTTTTTAATGGGGATTAGCCCACCCGGGCACAGGTCACTGACCCACATCGGGGCTGGGGGGCGAAAATACAATAATAATAATAATAAATAAGAATAATTCATAGTAAATAAAATTTATAATAAAAAATAAAATAATAATGATAATAATAATAATTCTGTAGTACAGGTTGTACCTCTCTAGTCCGGCATTCTGTGGTCCGGAAACTCACGTGGTCCGGAACGATTTTAGTTTGTCCAACAGGTAGATGTGCAGCTTTTTTTTTTTTGCTTATTTGAATTATTATTATTATTACAGGAGTATTAAATTTTTGCCCCTCAGGCCCCAATGTGGGTCAGTGACTTATGCCCGGGTGGGCTAATCCCCTTAAAAAAAAAATTAAAGCCCCGGGAAATTAAGGTTTGTTTACATCCGGCAGTTCGGCTGCTTTCTCTCTCTCTCTCTCTCTCTCTCTCTGCTTGTCTATACAGAGTACAACATTTAACCCTTCAATATATATGAGCAGTAAATAAGTGTTGCTTTCATATTCTTATGTAGAGTAATGACGATATGTTTTCACATGTGCGCACTTACATACGCGAACTCACTTTTTTTTACCATTAATGGTTAGCTACTTATATTGTTCCATTTATTAACATTAAATAACATTACAGGAACTTCAAACAACCATATTAATTTTTTTACATTAATTTTACTACAGCTAAAATCAGGGTCTTATTTTCTTCAGTTTTATATGTAGAACCAATCAGTCACTGGTTTTGTAAGCTTTAACATAAACAATGCCGGCAGCCGTCTCGTCTCCTCTATAATTCCACGTATTAATAATAAATTGTATTGTTAATTTTGCACACACACACATTAATTCAATAAAAAGAAATTCAGAAACATTAATTAAAATATATATGAACAGTAAATAAGTGTTGCTTTCATATTCTTATGTAAAGTAATGACGATATGTTTTCACGTTTGCGCATGCTCACTTACATACGCGATCTCTCTTTTTTCTTTACCATTATTGGTAGCTACTTCTATTGTTCCATTTGTTTCCATTTATTAACATTAAATAACATTACTTAAAACAACCATATTAATTTTACTACAGCTACAGCCAAGGTCTTATTTTCTTCAGTTTTATATGTAGAACCAGTCAGTCACTGGTTTTGTAATCAACGAAAACAATGCTGTGTCATTTCCTCGTGTGTTTTAATATTCTACGTATTATTAATGAATTGTATTGCTCATTTTGCACACATAAACATTAATTCAATAAAAAAGACATTCAGTAATAAACAATAATGAATGTTTTGTACATAAGAGAAATGCCGCTGTTTACAAGATTATGCCCGTCGTCTGCACGTTGGCGGGCCGTTCAAACCCGTTGAAATTCAAGTTTCCGCCGTCAAAATTTTTATTTATTTATTTTTTTTTGTGTGTTTCAATAAAATATGTTAAGAATTAAAAACTCGCGAAATTTGAGAAGCTACTATACGACATTTAACCCTTCAATATGTCTTCAAAGAGACCATGATGCAGAGAAAGTGGTGCTAGTGCTTCCAAGCATAAGCACAAGTCACTATCTATCCAGGAAAAGGGTGAATTTCCATGGTCCGGCACCGGTCAGGTCCTGAGGTTGCCGGACTAGAGAGGTACAACCTGTAGTAGTAGTAGTAGTAGTAGTAATAATAATAATAATAATAATAATAATAATAATAATAATAATAATAATATTGAACCATAAATACAAAAATAAAAAAGATCAAAAGTGAGAAACAATATACAGCTACTCCTCGACTTACGACCTACTCGACTTACGACCACCTGGACATATGACCGCCTCAGTTGTACGAAAAAAAATTTAAATTACGTAGAGTATTTTTGAGTTCCGACATTAGTGATTGCGCTGTGTACTGACAAAATTTTCATTTGTAATTCACTTTAAAATGGCTGGCAAGCTTAAAAGTGAGAGTTTTGTGGTGCTGAGAAGAAAAGGAGACACCCATTTTAGATTTTCTATGTATTATTTAAGCATTTTCGACTTGCGACCTGGATTTGGGTCCCTAACCCCATCATAAGTCGAGGAGCAGCTGTATGTATGTTGTGTTGTCAATAATAATTGAAACAATTGAGACCCTGCAATTGTGTGTAAATGAGGCAGAAAGTCAGATCAGCAACCTGGGATTTGTCACAATTTTCGTGATGCCATATGGCAGCAGGGTCTACCATAGACAACATATTACGCTTCCAATATCTTCCCAGGCAGTAATACCTCCCTGTTTGGTAGCTGCCTACTACCTACTACTTGGAAAATGGTTATTGTCAGTACCCAACAGTGTGTCTGTGTGTATGTTTATCCATAACTTGGTCAATGTAATCAGTCTTATGGTTTTGGATAGATCATTCTGAAACTTGGTGAGCATCATCATCACCAGCCAGAGATATCCATACCGAGTTTATCTTTTAGGGTCACTGATCAAATCTGAAAGTTAGTGTTGCTAAAAACTGACTGACAGGGTTTTTGTGTGAATACCTTGGCTATTTCTGCTGCTGTTGATGTAATGGCATTGAATATTTTTTATCCCAAAAGCTGGTTAGTTAATTTTTCAAGGTCTTCATTATTTTAATATTTATTTTCAAATTTAATGTATAATAACTCACAAGTTAATGAGATCTTATGATTTACTTTTAGCATTTGATGAGTTGGTCTCAGCATACACTGAACAGGCCAGAGGGCTTTTAGATGGAGGTGTTGATATACTGTTGGTGGAGACCGTCTTTGACACAGCTAATGCTAAAGCAGCGCTCTTTGCCATACAGACTCTGTTTGAGAAAGAGTATGAACCTTTACCCATATTTGTGAGTTATGACAGATTTTGTTTGTTCATCATAGAAAGTTTGTACAATACTTCAGTAACGCATGTTTAATTTCCAGTACATATAGATATGAAGTCTCTAGATGTATTTTGTAGATACAATAATGTATATGAATTTGGTAAATAGGTGTGCTGTAGCATAGTTGTATTGATATGGATGTAGATACAGTCTCCCTTTAGTAGATTAATTGATTTGTTGCTAGACTGGTCAAGTGAGAGTTCCTCTTACAAGTATATATTCTCTAAATCTGACAATAGTTTTTTAAACTACATATTTGTGCTGTAATTTGGAAAAGTGGAAACATCTCAGGAAAAAACCCACTTAATTCAGAGATTCACTTAATGGAGGTTTTTGTTTAAGGAAAACTTTACTATGTTATAAATGTAGATGGCTGTATATTTAAATGAATACAACATACAGAATAATGGTGAATGTGCATATAGCATATCACTTTAAATTTTGAGAAGCTCATGAGTCAAGCTACATTGGTGATAATGAATAGCATGTCTTTATGTATTACAGTAACCTAGACTAGCATTGATAATGTGTGTTTAATCTTTGGATAGTCTGTTATCTCGGTAGTTAACCTTGACCGTGTAGTTGTTGTACACTTGAGATTAGGTGTACTGTACTTAATAGTTTTCATATCCATGACAATACTCTATTTCATTATCTGTCATACATCAGAGTAGCTTAAGATGTACTTCCCTCAAAATCCTTAGTTACAGTAAACATTAAAACTTCCTTTATGAATAACCAGGTGTCTGGAACCATTGTGGACAAGTCTGGTCGAACCCTCTCAGGACAGACTGGGGAGGCCTTCGTTATTAGTATATCTCATGCACAGCCTTTGTGGTAGGTAGCTACTGTATATACTAGTACAGTACCTCAATTAATCTTTAATCAGTTCTATTTATCACTCATGGTATCGTGTCACTTTGTTAATGCTTATTGATATATATGTATGTCACAAATGTCATTATTCACTGAATACTGTAGTAAAGTAACATAAGGTATAAGTACAGGAGGTATTGTAGTGTAATAAATTACTGTATACTTGTTCAGTGTCCCACATAACTGACCTGTATGCGAGTTGCTTTTTCAGTGTTTTGTTTTATTGAATATATATACTGTACTACAGTATACTCAGTCAGTAGTTTTTAAGAGTATCATGAAATTATTTCCTTTTTTTCATTCAGCATTGGTTTGAATTGCGCCTTGGGAGCCAGGGAGATGCGGCCCTTTATTGAAAACATTGGACTAAATACAACATCTTATGTCATATGCTACCCTAATGCTGGTCTCCCTAATACGTTTGGAGACTATGATGAGACTCCGGAGACAACAGCGAACCACATCAGAGAATTTGCCAAAGATGGACTTGTTAATGTGGTAGGAGGATGTTGTGGCACAACCCCAGACCATATCAGGTATTGCATTTGTTTTTAGCATAAATTATGTAATGCCTTGATTTAGCATTTCCTCTAGCACTTATCAGCTTACCAGCCATTCAGGTGGTTGGTCTGTTCTTTGTTATGACCTTCATTGTCAAGTACAGTATATGAGAATAGACTTCTGATGTAAGATTGGAAAAGGATGTAGCATGAGATAAAATATAAATAGGTTCTATCCAGTTATGCCAGTACTATTTATTTGGATTTCCATGGGTCATAAATGCCATCTTCCATTCATTATCATTAACATTTTAAGGACATTTATCACACGTGCTTGGGTTAGCTACAATTACCTGATAGCAGCTCTCATGCTGCATGGTTACTTGCAGTCTCTTGTCAGGTTCTTAAATCTTACGTCATTTCTTACAATCTCTCCCATATCCTTCTTGGCCTACCTCTGTCTCTTCTTCCCTCCACATTTAGACTCCTGCACCTCCTAGACTCAATTGGTCTCATCCATTCTCTTCACTTGCCCAAACTATCTCAACCTGCATCTTTGCAGAACTTTGCCATTACTCTCATTACCTAGCTGTCCTCTTAGCTCATAACAGCGCCTCTTGTCTTTCAGTGTCACAAAACACAGTCAACTCGCCATTCTCATTTCAGCTCGGTCAAGTTTACGTAAGTCATCCTCTTTAACTTCCCATGTTTCACTGCTATACAACATCACATCACACTTCTCACCCCAGCCACACACATGTACTCACTTTCCTCACCATCTATTCTTGCAAAGGATTTTGAGCCTTCATATATGTAATACTATAGCCACTTGAGCAAGGTACGTACTCTTTGATTCCTAGCTTTCTCATTGCCCACTTTACTACTTCATGTGGTATCCTGTCAAATGACTTCAATTCTACAAATATGAAGTAAAATTTTCTCTCTTTTCTTAGATATTTATTTTGTAGGTGCCCGACCATAAATATTGCCTCTGTAGTTCCTTTATCTGACATAAATCCAAACTGCATTTCATTTATGTCTACTCTCTCCCTTATCAATTTCTCAATCATTCTTTCCACAACTTTCATAACCTGATGTAGCAGCTTCAGGCCCCTGTAGTTGCTGTGTTCAAGTGCATCACCTTTACCCTCATAACTATTCAGTCACACTCTTCCTCCAGTTGTCTGGAACAGTACATTCTATCATGATTGCATAAGTCTGTACGGTCACCATTGACACCACCATTTGCCTGATGTATTCAGTGTTTCTGCAACTATTCCAGAGCTTCCAGGGCATGGTCTCTGTAATGGTTATACTATCCCTAGGCTGCCCCTATCCCATTTGCATTCATTCAATAGTCATACACAGTATTTTCTCTAGGCATTCATGATATCCTCATTCTCAGCAACCACATTACCATGGTCATTTCTCACACACACACACACACACACACACTGCTCACGAACAACATCCTTTTTTCTACCCACAATTTGCCTAACTTTTATGAATACTTCTCCTTTTGTGTCTGCACTGTTCAACGTATCTGCAATGTGTCTGTTCATGCTTCTTAGCCATGTCAAACTCTCTTCTGGCCCTGCACTTGACCTCCAGGTACTCCACCTTGTTACCATTTATCTTCCAGGACCTGTACAATCTTCTTCCCTCTTTTATCACTGTCTGCTTCATCATTCCACCACCATGTTACTGCATGTTTAGCTTGGTTCTTCGTCCAGCCACATTTAGGAAAACATCCTTTATTTTGTCCTAGCATCTTGCTACACTACCCCTCTCACTCACATTGGATGTCTTCAATCTTCTTAACTCAGGATTTGCATAAAATGCTTCTCTTACATTCTGTTCCTTCAACTTCCACACTCTCCTTCTCGGACCATACACCTTCCTTTCTCTGCACCTTTTAAGCAACATGTCACACAAGCAATCTGTGCATCAAGGCCCATTCTTCCCATGCTATAACCTTTACATCCCTAACAAGCTCCCTATCTAATTTCCTAACTAGAAAATAATAAATTATTGTTTTGTTCCCTCTGACTCACACACAGTCAGCTTACTCATGTTGCATACAACCATGTTCACTGCTTCCCCATCCAGTACTGTACATTACTACATTACTGTACAAATAAATGATTGAGTGTGTTAAATCACCTTTTTTGGCTAAAGAAATATAAGAATGTGATGAGAACTATTCATTCGACTATTGAAATGTACAGGGTGTGACAAAAGATACAAAGGGATTTGAATTTAAAACAAAAACAGAGACTTTTTAATAATAGAGTACTATTGCTGTAGTGTCCATCACTTTAATCTTAAAAGTGAAAACTATTACAGTAAATGGAAATAAGAGAAAATATCCGTGATAGTTTTGATCTAATAGAATTTTTTTATTCTTTTATGATCACTGCCCAGTGGTGTAGTGAGGGTTTGTGGCTCCTAGGGGCAAGGGTAGAGAATGGGGCCCCCTCTGGCAGTCTGAGCCCTGACTTAGGTGAGGAGTCTGGGGGCCCTACCCCAGGATGCTTTTGACTTTTACGTGACAGTTTCTTGCATTCTGAACCCTATTTTCAAAGTTTAATAAGATTATCGGTTACAGTGCTTCAACCTATTTTATTTTACTGCATATATCACTGTATTCATGAAAATTTGAAAATAGTATACTTTACCAAAGTACAGCAATGAACAAAAACTTAAAAAAATAAAATTTTGTGCATTCTGTATTCAATTTTGCCATTACCTTTTGGTTATATTTTTATCAACAAAACAAGCATATGGTAAGCAAATCACATTTGAGTTTCAAGCTTTTGCTACGGCAAAATGGTTAAAGACATAAATCAAAGTTGATGTTTTCTGTCTCTTCACGCTCAATGTTGAGGAGTGCCAACACACCGAGTCTCGCTTGCCCCATTGAGGCTCTTTGGTATGCCAAGGTAAGATTTAATTTGCTGAATTAGCCATCACAACTAGCGATTGAAGTTGCTATGGTCAACATGATTTGAATTGCAACGGAAAGACATTTTGATTGCCATAATACACAATTAACTGAAGGAACTCCTCTGCTTTTGAGATCTCACTGTCTTCCTGACTTTTGAAAAGGATTCTGCAATTCATCATTTTATTGTTGAGATCTTTGCCATCTAAATCTCGTAAAAATCACCCCACATGAGTGCAACTTTGCCTTTTGCATTCGTCATTTGATGTTGACAAAAGTCCTTTTACATCCAAAAGAGAACCAAGTGTTGCAGTTGAAAGAATCTTTACTTTATTTTGGCGTGGAGTCTGTCTATGGTTTCTTTCATCAGCTGCATAATTTCCTTCTCTGCAGAAAGATCCAGATCTTCAGCTCTTTTGCCAGGCATCTTTTTCTTCCTTCTGTGGCATCTTTCCACCTTGTTGTCCCAATCCTCACAGTTTCAATGCTCTGTCAAGTGATTCATTGCATATCTATTCTTCATTCTTCAGGAAATGCTCCTGAAGAGCTTTTAAATGAAGAGCAGCATCATGGAAGTTCATTGCACGGTCCTGAAGTCGCCTTTAGACATGATCAATTTTTCCAAGCACATTATCCAAAAGCCGAGTAGGGCCAAAAATTCAAAAGTCAGAATCTGGTGCAACAACTAACTTGTGTTGCTCTCATATTGGCAGTTTCATTGGGATCATCAGCCATGCTCTCGAGAAGCTCTGCTAGGTCATTTAAATGCTCAATAATTGGCTTCACTGCTTCTGTATTATGATATGTATTATTACATGTGTATGATGTGATATGGCAAGCGTACAGAACCTGGCCTCTCGGTGCGCTTGTCTGTGATTATGATACATGTCAAAACTTGCCCCCCAGCCGTGGATGTAAAAAATGCAAATGTCATGTTAAAAAATTGCATGCTTGGCTGATTTGGCGCCTCCAAAAACCTGTTCCCAAAGCCCGTTCCTCTTCTCGCTCCCCTCGCTGTGCTGCTCACATTGCCACATCCATTAGTACAGGACCTAATGGTGTCTTGAAGGAACAATGAGACTATGGATTAATTGTTTTGTGATGTAAGAAGATTTATTAACTTAGAACTCTTGTGCTTGTTTCACATTTAACAAATATGGTAAGATTGCAATTTGACTCCACTTGGCCTGTTTGGTCGAGTTTTACATTTTGTCAGCAACCACACAATGTCTACAGCTGAAGCAGTTAACAATCTCCTCCCAGTCCGTGGTCTTGGCCCTTCAAAGCACAAAAAAGGGTTTAACTAACTCCGTTTATTCATTGTGCAGTATTCAAGTACAGTACTTGAAAAATTCTTGATAAACTTATTTTGAAATTAACCTCTCCTTCTCTAATTACTGTACTTTGTTATACTGTATCTCCATTTCCTCTCATGTGAAAGACAGTGGTCCCTCGGTTAACGAACTCAGTTCGTTCCACAGAGTCATTCGTTAACCGAAAATTTCATTAACCGAATCTAATATTTCAATGGGATATTGGGTAATTGGTTCCAACTCACAGAAAAAGTACATACAAAGTACTGTATACCAGTAATAGAATTTACAAAACATTAAATATAAACTAAATACAGTACAGTACTGTACTGTACAGTATACTGTACAATAATAAATAAAAAACAATAGAATATACTGTATTTTAACTTACTTTGAGGTGTGTATGTCGTATTACCGGCAGCTTTGTTTATATATCAAACAGCTGATTGTAGAGGCAGTCGATGATGTCATGCTACATTCTTTACAGAGTACATTGGTCCTAATGCCTTCTTCGTGTTTCATAATAATTTCTGCACTGTATATTATCAATATGTTAACTAAATTTCAGAATGACCAATATAATTTGAATGTAAAAATGCAAAAATATTCAAGAGACCAACAAAATCGATGTTCACTCTACTGTAAACAAAGTTAAACTGAGAAGCGTTGTTGGGTGATTCAATCAGCTGATGGGCACACAAAAACTGTTCCCTGTACTGTCTATATTATCAATATGTTAACTAAATTTCAAAATGACCAATAATTTTAATATAAAAAATGTAGAAATATTCAAGAGACCAACTTTCTTGATATTTACTTCACTGATGTAAACATAGAACCAATTACTGTACTGTACTGTATTGGCAGACTAGCCGATCAGCTGATGCGCACAACAAAACGTGTTTTTCGTAAGGATTTCGTTAATCAAAGTTTTGTTCGTTAATTGAACTGAAAATCCTTATGGGAGCTAATTCGTTAACCAAATTTTTTTTAACCGAACCGTTCGTTAACCAAGGGACCACTGTATATGATAATAATATTCATTTTTTACTTTCATCAAATGATTCATATGTTCACATTCTCAACCAAGTACATGTTTTATTGAATAAATTTAACCTACAGTACTGTAATTGTCTTATAAATATAGTCCTGTGTTTCAGAGCTATTGCTGAAACTGTTGCCGCCATCAAACCCCGAACTCCTCCTTCAGTTTTATACAAAGACGCACAACTTCTTTGTGGCCTTGAGCCTATGAGAATCACAAGTCAAACTAATTTTGTAAATATTGGTGAGTAGCACAAGTAATGAAAACCTGGAAATTTCATAATTATACCAAAATTACAAATATTGAAAAATAAATTTGGAATCGGCATAGGTAGGACCCTGTTGCAAGACAGTGTTATCATGTTTCATTTAAGGGATAATTTAAAATATGGGGAAAATATAATGTAGAGCTCTGGTTTTAACTTTTTTCCTTATTTTTAGGTGAAAGATGCAATGTTGCTGGCTCCCGAAAATTCTGTCGACTGATTAAGAATGGGGAGTATGAAGAAGCCCTTTCTATTGCTAAGGCTCAGGTAAATTATGTGTCATGGTACTGTACAACTGCTGGTCTGTGTCTTGTGTTCTTCATATTTGGTAACTTGTGTGTCTCAGGCAGTGCTATCATCACCCACCTTAATATTGTTTCAATTTAATTGCAATCACTGCAGTGTAGTTGAATACAAGACTGTTTAGAGATGAAAGCAACTTGAAGTTTTATACATCTGTTATGAGCTCAGAGTTGCAGGCACTATAATTGTTAGTCAGTACTTGTAGATTCTAGTCTTATAAACATAACAATGGCAGATTTGTTAGTTAATGTCAACCAACAGGAAAAATTCATTTGTCTCAGTAATTAATACCTTCCCTACCCCGGCAGGTGTAGCTCTACAACAGGAATCACCCTTAAGTTTTTAAAATACAATATGTAAAATATAAAAGAATAAACCTGTTGTTAACTACATTATAATGTAATTTATAGTATATATCTTAATTCTCTTTGAAGGTTGAAAATGGAGCACAGATCATTGATGTTAATATGGATGAAGGTTTACTGGATGGCAAGGCAGCAATGACACGCTTTCTTAACTTGATAGCAACTGAACCAGATATTTGCAAAGTAAGTTTGCTTAACGATAATTTATACCGTATTTTTTCCCCCTACACTTTCAAGATTTTTCCTGCATGACACAGACTAGCCAAAGTCAAGAACAGCACAAACTATCCCAGAAAGATAGTACAGTACAGTACCTGCTTATAGAATACAATGTAAAGTGCAAGGAAGGTAGGCTGAAAGACCAGTATACAAAGGACATAGATACTTTGGGGACAAACTATGTTATAAATGAAGAATATTTACAGACAGTTTATACTTACAATTTCAGGAAAGATAATATGTACAGGGTATATTTCTTAATGGTACATTGGTATTTTAATGCATTAGTTTCAATACAAGAAATTATGAATGGAAAGATGTTTAGAAATAAGTACTGTAGCCTATACAGAAATTATTGTTTGTTGCTCCCTACAGGTCCCAATGTGTATTGATTCCTCGAATTTTGATGTGATAGAAGCTGGTCTTAAGGTAACTCAAGGAAAATGTGTTGTCAACTCTATCTCACTTAAGGAAGGCGAGGAAGAGTTTATATACAAGGCCAACCTCATAAAGAAGTATGGATCTGCAGTTGTTGTCATGGCTTTTGATGAAATGGGCCAGGTTAGTACAGCCATTACTTTTTTATTACTATATTACCAGTGTTATTACACTGTGTGCCACACTATGCAAAGTGAACCTAGATCCATATCTTTAACCCTTAAGCCCTGGGTTAGGGTGCTGCTGGCAGTACACCCCCCCCTCCCCCCATGGGGTTAAATTGTGAAAAAAATAAACTTTTCCCAAAATAATTAAAAAAAAAAAAGCGGGAAAATAGGTGGACGTTCTGGAACATCACCCGGGGCCTATGGGTTAAAATTCACGGAACTTCTCTTAAAATTCTTGGATTTATACCAGCTTTTGTGTTCATTACTGTCAAAGTACCGTATATACTCGTCTATAACCCCCCCTTGTTTATAGGTCGACCCTGATTTTTTGACCAAGAAATCGTTAATTTACGATATTCCTCGTTTATAGTTCGACCCACGTTTTTGAGGGTAATGGAACAACAAAACCTTCAGTAAAAACACTCTACGTCCTATAAACTGAGGCTCGCCGTGCATGAAACACGAGTGCCGAAGGCAAATTGTTTACCATTTATTATTACGACAATTTACACTGAAATGCGGGTAGTTTCAACAAAAATATTGTTTATTTCCATTCAAGTATTTATTCAAGTCAATTAGGAGGGAATATTATTGTAATACAACAGTTTTTTAACTAAACCATTCGAAAAGCGATTACGGTAACATCTTTTGAACGAAAGAAAGCGAAAGTCATTGCTTTTGTCACGATTTTATCCCACTTTCCATTGTAATACGCACATAATTTCAGCAAAAATATTACATTTCCGTGAATGTATTATATCAAGCACAGTATGAATAGAATATCGTTGTAATATAACAGAATTTTAACCGAAAACTATTAAAAAAACGAGTAACATCTCAAGAACATCGGAAGCTTAGGTAAAGTCTTTTGTTTTCGTCATGTATTTTATCCTATTTTACATTGAAATACATCACGTTTCAGCAAAACTACTATTTATTTCCGAGAATATATTCATTCAGGCGCAGTTTAGGTAAAATATACGTGTGATGTAATAGTTTTTTAACTGAAAACGATTCGAAAAACACGTACCCTCTAGCCCTGTTCAAGGAGAGGACTGGGAGAAGCTGTTTGGTGCTGCAGACGATGACAAGGAAAATCATTTTGATGGATTTTAATGAAAATATTCAGAAATGTGGTATCGTAGTATTTATTCAAGTCAATTAGGATAGAATATTATCGCAATACAACAGTATCTTAACTAAACCATTCGAAAAGCGATTACGGTAACATCTTTTGAACGAAAGAAAGCGAAAGTCATTGCTTTCGTCACGATTTTATCCCACTTTCCATTGTAATACGCACGTAATTTCAGCAAAAATATTACATTTCTGTGAATGCATTATATCAAGCACAGTATGAATAGAATACCATTGTAATATAACAATATTTTAACCAAAAACTATTAAAAAAACGAGTAACTTCTCTTGAACATCGGAAGCTTAGGTAAAATCTTTTGTTTTCGTCATGTATTTTATCCTATTTTACATTAAAATACATCACGTTTCAGCAAAACTACTATTTATTTCTGAGAATATATTCATTCAGGCGCAGTTTAGGTAAAATATACGTGTGATGTAACAGTTTTTTAACTGAAAACGATTCGAAAAACACGTGTACCATCTAGCTGATACTCAACAGCTGGTGGTGCGTCATGCGTCGTTGTAAACAATAGGAGGTTGAAATAGATTACCGGGTATTATATTAAGTGTGAAATATCGAAAAGGTTTTTATTACCGGTATTTTTTGTAGATCAATGAGAAGTGTGATACCGTATATGATATGATAAGTTAGCCTGTGCCAAGAACTTCAACATAGACTACTGAAAACACGTTGTAAGGTAATTTAGCCTATTGTAAGTTGGTGAGCTTCATTTGCTGAAGGAACTGCACAACTTTTCATTACTAATTGGTACATATTTTACGTTTCCATTGTTCACTGGCAGTAAATGGTAAATATTTTTCATGTCTGAAGCTAAAAGTTGCTCCTCGCCCTTCCCATCATGCACGGGTTCAACCTAACAAAACTATTACGCATGTATAGGACGACCCCCAATTTTTTGCCTAAAAATTTGGTCTTAAAAACTCGAACTATACACTAGTATATACGGTAGTTTGTATTGGTGAGAAATAAATCATGTAAAATGTATTTTTATAGCTGTTATGTTAAAATGAATACCGTACATGTAATAGAGAGGCATAAACTTTGAAGAAAAAGGTTTAGATATATAAGAGGAAGGAAGAAGTTAACTCAAATCATGTCTTAGTACATCTTAATCATGACCAACTTTATTGTCGATAATGTTGGTAAACTTTCCCACTTTGAAGCAAATGTGAAATTACTTAGTAGTGTTTGTGATATGTTGGGAAGAATTTACATCAAAATGGTTACAGTACTATAAATGGGAAGGAGATACCTGTACAAGGAAAGCTTCCATTCAAGATCCCTGCTGTCTTCTAATGGCCTGTAGGTGCCCCTGTCTCCCACCACATTAGGGGGGGTGGGGGGGAAGTGAAAATAATATTGTCTGTATATCTTGTTACGCCGTCTCTTAATTTACTTTAATATCCAGGTTCTAGGCGTAACCAAACAAAAAAAAAGTGAAGTAAATCAAAAGGGAATAAAAATAGATAAAGTAAACCTTTAAGAATTTAATTAAATTAAATACTAACACAATAAAGAGCCTCGTAGGCTGTCACAACAAATTGATTCACTATCGAAACTTTTAAGACACAAATGATACTAAAACATCGAAACATCAAAAGAACTGCTAAAATATATAGAATAATAATAAAGCACTGGATTACGTTAACACTGCATAAACATAAAATAACTAACACTGAAATTAACTAACGTGAAACAACACTGAATTATTTAAATGTAACTAAGCAAGCACTGATGGACACATAAGAGACATGAATAGGTACTCACATAGATATACCACATTGGTGGCGACAGGAACAACACAGAAATAAAATAAAGTATAAGTAACAGGTGACGGGTGTCACTCCAAAGAACGTGGACTGAATGACAGGAGGACTGGACTGAACTCCGTCTGTTGGTGGGGTACTATATATAAGGTCGGCTCCCGCCAGTGTTACACGCCGGTGAAACATGGGTCGTTTAACGATGCAGATGGTCGTTAGAGAAACAAGGAATGCTTGTTACAATACTAAATGAAGAAATAAGATGGGCTTGAACAAATAATAACAGTTAAAACCTTAACAGCACAGGGTAAGGTGACTAGAATATATAGTAGTAAATATAACACATCATTACAGGAATAATATGGAACAACATGGAAGCATGTTATTAAAAAAAAAATAGAAAAATACGACAAGGACGTAACAATCTGAATTGAGAACATGATATATAAAAAACAATTAAACTAAGAGTTGTGACCTTTGGCAGTGTTGCTTTATGTAGGTCTTTTGAGGAGTTCAGTAATTTGTCACTTCCCTTCTCATGTTGGGGAGTTGTGGTCACGTTTGTTTCCCAGTGTGACTTTGTCTGGTGAGGAACCTGGATGAACTAAATCTTGGTATACAGTATTTAATTTCTCAGAGGATCTACGAGTACATTTCTAGAAAGTCAGGGAGAAGCGAGGAAAGACTAAACTGTAGTGTTTGCAGTAAAGAGAAAATCTACAATGTTCATGGTCAACTGACAGCAAAATGATAAATGTTTTAAGTGATGTGTCACTTAAAGTTGAGATGAATCATTCCCGGTGGTGCAGTGGTAATGCATGTAACTCTCACCTCTGTGTCCTGGATTCAGTCCATGGCAAAGGAAAGATGTGATAAGGGTGTTGTGACACTACCAGACATGGCATTTTTTTTCTCCAAGTACAGCTCCTCCCCTACTTACGACCTACAGTACTCGACTTATGACCACCTGGACATACGACCGCCTAGTTGTACCAAAATTTTGTCAAATTACGTATTTTCGAGTCCCAACGTCAGTGATTGTGCTGTGTACTGACAAATTTTTTTTGGTAATTCACTTTAAAATGGCTGGCAAGCTTAAAAGTGAGAGTTTTGTGGTGCTGAGAAGAAAAAGAGACACCCATTTTAGATTTTCTATGTCTTATTTAAGCATTTTCGACTTACGACCAATTTGACTTACGGCCTGGATTTGGGTCCCTAACCTCGTCATTAGTCGGGGAGGAGCTGTATAGTGTGTTTTCCTCCAGTACTAACACTGGATAAAGGTCATAATAAAGTAGTAAAGAACAAACCGTCTGTCCAAATGGTTAGTCAACTGATAAATGGTGAAATGATAAATAGAAATAAAATGTAAATAAATATTGACGTATAATATAAAGAGCTACATACCGTATTTAAAGCCTCAAAGACGACATTGACTGCATTGTAAATATGGTGTGCACTCTTTTTCCCAGATAACCCTTCCACACCACTATTAGCAGGGATCTGTTACATGACCATAAATAGTTAACAGTGAGTAGGATGGGAAATAAGGGAATCCCAAATCTTGGTGTATAGGTGAGTCAGGGAAATTTGTATGTAGTTAGTCTTGGTGACTGGGCGAGTCAGTGAAATTTGTATATTACGTATTAGGGAAAGGTCAGGGAATTTTGTATGTAACTAGGGAAAGGTCAAGAAAAAATATGTAGTCAGGGAAAGATTAAGGAAATTTCTTTAGCCAGGAAAATACTATTGATATTTGCATGTTAGGGAAAATTTTGGGTAATTTGTGGTAATTTGTGTGTCGTCCAGAAAACGTCAGGGAAATTTACCTGTTAGGACAAGTCAGGGAAGGTTGTATGAAGTTAAGAAAATTTGCTTGTTGCTAGAAAAATTTTTAGTAAAAAGGAGACAAGATTTAAGTGGCCACTATTGTACTACACTTCTTGGGACCTGGCCTGCAAAATAAAAGTACACTACAGTATGTTTTTCTTTTACCACATACAGGATACAAGATATACCCTCCTGTAGACACCTGAATGCTTGTGGTTGTGTTCGCCTACGAGAAATACTCGGCCTCTTTTAAATAATAATGCTGAAATAATGTATGATATAAAATTATTTGATTTATGTGGATTTTAAGTCCATCGTCTATCTTTTTGATTATCTATCTATTTATCTATATATCTATATATATATATATATATATATATATATATATATATATATATATATATATATATATATATATATATATATATATATATATATATATATATATATATATATATATATATATATACACATATATACTGTACTCTTTATCTGTTTGTGTTGTGTGGATTTAGGAGTAAATGAACCTCAGATAAAGGGAAGTAGTTATATGATTTATGAAAGACAAGTGTAAAAGTGAGAAGATGGTGCTAAGAAAGTAGAAATATGCACACACACACTTGCCCTCTCACGGTCATGCCTTCAGGGACATGTTATTATAGATGTCATTCATCATAAGCCATATACAGTACTCGTATACCTGTACAGTACCATATTAGTGCACACTCATCTACTCAACTCTTCAAATTCTTTTTTACCTCAAACATTATCTTTACTTCTTCACTCCAAACTGTATCATTCCTCTGAACTCCCATAATGCTTTGTAAACTATCCATCTCGACTGCTTTCATCATTTTTCTGTAACTACTCATGCAAACCTCAGTTTCACATATTGTACTTACATAAGTGTGAAAGAAACATTTTGTTGTGCCAGTATCCTGTTACCATTCCCCCATTAATTAATATTCTTAAGGCTTCACTTTTTTCTATCTTATGTTGTTAACTTCCTTTTATTCCATCCCTCTGTGTTGAACATTGTTTTCACTTATTTGAATTTATTCATAACCTCCAGGACTTTTGGATTCATATTGGCTTTACATTGAGCCTACCTTTATAATTTTGATCTTTGGTAAATTTGTTGTATTACTTACAGGCTGTGGATGTGGAAAATAAAGTACGGATATGTCAGCGATCTTATAAAATCCTTACTGAAATTGTTGGGTTCAACGCCAATGACATCATCTTTGACCCGAACATCTTAACAATTGCTACTGGAATAGAAGATCACAATAACTATGGCATTAACTTTATTGAAGCTACAAAAAGAATTAAGGTGAGTAAGTACTGGCTGATGCATAAGAGCTTTTGTCAGTAAACTTCTTAGAGATATTGTGGAGTGGGAGAAGCCATGTACAGGTGCCACTATAGTGAGGCTTTTCTTTCTGACAGATTTTGGTATGAAGTTGACAGGATAATGGTAGAGTTGGTGATTTAATAAGTACATTAATGTAGTAGATAAACTGACAATCATAGATGGGTGGTTGGAAGTTTAATAAAAGAGTTGCTGTTGACAGAGATACATTCAGGAAGCAAAATTATTATTACTGTATGTCCTGAAATAAAATCTCTCTTGTAGTCCTGTATAATTTTATGCAGAATCTACAATAGGAGGTAACTGTTTTACATAATTATATTGTTTGTTAAAGCTTGGAAGAAAAATGGCAGTAGGTATATGAACATGTGGAAAATGGCAATAATGATAAGAACAAAAAGGGTACATTTTCCTGACAGTAATATTTGTTTATTATTATTTTCCTCCTAGGACACCTGCCCAGGGGTACGCATTAGTGGTGGGGTGAGCAACTTCTCTTTTTCCTTTCGTGGGAAGGAAACAATTCGTGAAGCAATGCACGCTGTCTTTCTGTACCACGCCATTAAAGCTGGCATGGACATGGGTATTGTTAACGCAGGATGCTTGCCTGTCTATGATGATATAGAACGTGAGCTGCTGCAACTCTCTGAATCTCTCTTGTGGAACACTGACCCTGATGGTACTGAAAAGTTATTAGCATATGCTGAAAAAAGTTCATCTCAAGTAAAAGTTGGTGCTGTTGTAGATGACTGGCGGGGTAAGGATGTGGAGGAGAGGCTGAAGTATTCCTTGGTGAAAGGTATTGATAAATTCATAGTGGAAGACACAGAAGAAGCTCGTCTACAAGTAGAAAAATATCCCCGGCCACTGAGGGTTATTGAAGGACCCCTTATGAATGGAATGAGCATTGTCGGTGAGCTGTTTGGTGCTGGGAAAATGTTTCTGCCGCAGGTGATTAAGAGTGCACGTGTAATGAAAAAAGCTGTGGCGCATCTGATTCCTTTCATGGAGGCAGAACGGGCTGCAATGGTGAACGGACTTGGTGGTAGTGTGTCAGACACAGACAGATATAACGGTACTATAGTGTTAGCAACAGTTAAAGGTGATGTTCATGATATTGGTAAGAATATTGTGGGTGTTGTGCTTGGATGCAACAACTACAGAGTTATTGATCTGGGAGTGATGTGCTCTTGTGACAAAATATTGCGGTGTGCTATTGCAGAGAAGGCTGACATCATTGGGCTCTCTGGACTTATTACTCCATCACTGGATGAGATGATCTTCGTTGCACGGGAGATGGAAAGATTAGGCCTTCAGGTAAGTTTTTCTTTATTTCTAATTCAAGTTCATACATTCTGGAATTAATTAGCTAATACCTGTATTTATGATATGTCAGGTTTTTGGAAATCAACTTAAACAAGCATAATTATTTCTTTTTAACTGGTCAACATTTTCAATCATATCATGAGTAACATCTTTTTATGCCCTCAAAATCCGATCATGACCTTTTAGTACCGAAAAAATATGAATTTTGAAGTACGGTAGACAAAGTGTGAGCAGTTTTGTGCACATGCAAATCATCACCTCTGTCTGTTGAGGGAGAGAGACCAGTGAGGAGCAGAGCTGCCCCTAGGGGGGTGAGGGGCAATTCATCCCTTTGCAGGTTAAAATTTATTTATATTTATATAGTTACATACATAGTAATATACAAATTGTTAATTCCCCAATCATACTACAGTGACCCCTCGGTTAACGAACTCAATCCGTTCCAGAAGGTCGTTCGTTGACCGAAAAGTTCGTTAACCGAAACCATTGTTTCAATGGGTTTTGGGGAATTGGTTCCAGCTCACCGAAAATTTCCTAAATTCAACAAAAATGGTAGAAAGGTTCACTTACTTTGAGGTGTGTATGTAGAAGGCTCCTGGATGATGATGATGATGATGATGGGATTTAGAATGGGGGTGGAGGAGAAGGAAGAAGAGAAGGCATTGGGGTGGAAGAGAAGTCGCCCCATGGCGCCATTTCACCCATAAAATTTTAGCTCTCTTGGTGTAATTCAAGATTATTTTCTTTAAATCAACACTGCACCGCATTATATATTGTCAATATGTAAAATATATTTCAAAATGACCAATAATTTGCTTGGAAACACAGAAAAAAGCATTTAGTTGAAGAGAGTCTCAAGCAAGATGTTACCTCCAGTGAAAACAGAGAGAGACTAACGCCTGTTTGCTGTGTTAAGAGGCTGGATGCCACGCATCAAACTAGTCACTTTACCTTCAATTTTGTTCAATAATTGTTAAAATGACTAAAAAATTGAATATTAAACTTTTAAAATTATTGAATAGTATAAACTTCTTGATATTTACTAAAATAGTAACGAATTTAAGCCCTAGAACCGATTAATGTATTGGTGGACTGACACTAAAGCTGGTTGCCTGGTCAGTGCAAGCGAAAACATGTTGAGGTCGGTTCGTAAGAAATTCGTTAACCGAATTTTTGTTCGTTAACCGAATTGAAGATCCTTATGGAAGGCAGTTTGTTAACCGAAATTTTGTTAACCGAGGCGTTCGTTAAACGAGGGGTCACTGTATTACTATGCCAAGTATTATGTAATTTACTATGTTATAACATCTTTCATATATTTCCCCTTTTGACAATCTTCGCATGTAAAAAGTCTTCTGAAAAGTGTCGATTTTCACCATTTTTTGGCTGGATCACATAGATCTTTATCAGCATGCCTGCTAGCGTAGGTAGAGCTGTCCATTTTAAAAGCCTTAGTATTTTTTTCAGTTCTCTCCTCTTCCTCAGCTTGAATATGACCCATATTATTACCATCACTGTCGCTCAGGTCCTTTTTTGCACTAGTTTCTGGTGTTTTTGAAAACCATATTTTTCTTGGGAACCTTTCATTGACATTTCGATTTCTTCTCTCTTCCTTTTTTCTGCCTTTTATCTGCACCCGAGATGTATTTTCTGTATCTGTCTCTATCCCTGCTGGCCATGGTATAATAAAAAATTAGGGCTGTGTACGATAGTAAAATAATGTACAGTATATCAACAATTTCACAAAACACAAATCACGGACAACTGGAGATACAGAGTTTCGACAACACTGACAGGTGACCGCTGTCAACGTCCTCACTCCTCTTCGACAGAGAGCACAGTAAAGAATCACATTGCTCTCAGCCTGGGTGGTAAGATGGGGTGGTTTAATCTTACCTTTGATTTCATGTCAGCAGATGCATTGCCTAACTATGCTGGTCACTAATCCTTCAGGTGTCCTCCTGAATCTGGGTGGTAAGGTGAGGTCAGCTTAACGTGGTCACTAATTCTGGTGTTGGGTGGGGTAAGGGCCATACCTTTGGGACGGCGCTGGTGAGGAGCTTCAGTTTATATCTAACCACAAGATGTATATCCTTCTTTAAAACAGGTTCCAAACTGGCCACTTGGACAAGCCAGAGTTGCTCTGTATACATGCAGTTGCCTTGTGATGTTTTGTGTCTGCAATAGTTTTAGAGTTTCTTTATGTAAAGCTGGGCTAAAGCTTTATCTTGAAGATATATAGAACTATAGTCATAATTGAGTACTACTTATGATAGAGAAATACTATATAATTTATACTTCAGAATACTGTACCTTTATGTGGTATATAAGTACAGTAATTGCAAACAGCCAAGAGTACAAGTTAAAATTTCACTCTGATAAATGTTGGTACAGTATTAATTATTGAACATCTTTCTTGTTCATGCATCAGGTGCCATTACTCATTGGTGGAGCAACAACTTCCAGAACTCACACAGCCGTTAAGATCGCTCCAAAGTACACAAATCCAGTCGTTCACGTTCTGGATGCTTCCAAGAGTGTGGTGGTGGTGAGTTTTTTATTTTATTTTTTCCCAAAGTATGAATATAAAGTGAAATATTATGGAAATCAAGGTCAAGTAACAAAGGGGCTCCAAATTATATGCCTTTTTTCTCTCTCTCTCTTTGAATCATTTTTTATCTATAAACCATTTCTCATATGAAGTAGAAGGATATAAGAGAATCATTTAACCTCTTCCTTGCCTCATGGCTGAGCTGGCATAGGTATTTATGTACAGTCAACCCTCACTTTACGCGGTCCCACATTCCGCGTTTCCACGTTTACGCGGTGCCCTGCCAGAACCCAGGATGCTCACATTCCGCGGTGGGTGTACCCCTTTACACGGTGAAGTATAATTTTTTTATTTAGCTCATAAAATTCATACAAATTATCCGGCCAGAATATAATTTACATTGCTGGAATTCTTACAATTTGATGATCATTTTGAATATAAACATCATAGATTTTGCATTAGACATACAAATTTTAGATATAATGTTTACTCTTGAGTAAATATGTTATCTTTTGTGCAAAATATATGATATTTATATTCAAAATATTCCTGGTCTTACAAGGAATCCAGCAATGTCAATTATATTATCCTAACTTTAGTCTGATTTTTTATTTATTACTAAAAAGGTAAACAGTCTGATATTCCCACACATTTATCTAGTAGGGACGGTTGGTGGGGGTGGGGGGGAGGGAGGGAGGGACCGGCGACCGACCATCTGTTACTGTGTGAAGAATATTTTTTTTTTATTAACTGAAGATTTTTATTTTAGCTTATAAAATTCATACAAATTATCCAACCAGAATATAATTTACATTGCTGGAATTCTTACAATTTGATGATCATTTTGAATATAAACATCATATATTTTGCATTAGACATAAAATTTTTAGATAAAATGTTCACTCTGAGTAAGTATGTTATCTTTTGTGCCAAATATTTGACGTTTATATTCAAAATATTCCTGGTCTTACAAGGAATCCAGCAATGTCAATTATATTATCCTAACTTTAATCTGAGGTATTATTTAATACAAAATGTTAAAATTTATTGTTTTCACCCACTCTTTCTCTTGAAGGGAGGATTGGTGGGGGGTGGGGGGAGGGTTGGGACGGACTGACCATCTGGCGCTTGGAAGAGAGGGGGAGGCAAGGTGGGGTACTTTGATTGACAGATAGTGTTGTGAAGAATATTTTTTTTTTTTATTAACTGAAGATATTTGTTTTAGCTCATAAAATTCATACAAATTACCCGGCCAGAATATAATTTACATTGCTGGAATTCTTACAATTTGGTGATCATTTTGAATATAAACATCATATATTTTGCATTAGACATACAAATTTTAGATAAAATGTTTAATCTGAGTAAATATGTTATCTTTTGTGAAAAATATATGACATTTATATTCAAAATATTCCTGGTCTTACAAGGAATCCAGCAATGTCAATTATATTATCCTAACTTTAGTTTGAGGTATTATTTATTACTATACCTGGTTTTCCCCCCAAAATTTCTCAGAGGGAAGAGCCAGCAGTGTAGTGTGAGAAGAGGGGGAGGGAGTCGAGTCCATTATTTGAATGGACATTAACTTGGCGACTGTATTTCTCTATTTCTCTTAAGTATTAATTGTGTGCATGTACCATCATAAAATTAAGATGTTATTTTTACTAGAACATAGGTATTGTGTTGGAAAAAGTGGAGTTTGGGGGTCAGCTGGCCTCTATTTCATTTAATCCCATATGTTATGTTATTCACTTTACGCGTTTCTCACTTTCCGCGGTACCCTGTGGGTTACATTAACCGCGTAAAGTGAGGGTTGACTGTAGTTATTAGTGAATATTATGCATACAGTATACCAAATCTTTTTTTCATAAGTTTGGGCTAGACAATCACAGACCATGTTCAGGTATATTTAAGAGCTTGCGCATGCCCAGTACCTGCCAACAGTGTGTAATAGATAACTGACTATATAATTAATCAGCAAATGAAAGAAAGAATACTATAAGTGAAGTATTAGGGCATGGAGTAAGGATGGTGTCAATGGATGCCGTGGTTGCTGGCCACTTCTAGATAGTAACAACACTGAAATTAGCTGATAAGGAATTGTTTCACTTGTTTCATTATCATACAAATAAAATTAATTATGTTTAGCTGGATCACTGGTAAATTATCTTATTATAAAGTTTGAGGTAATACTGTACAGCATGCTTTGACAATTTGCAGATTTTTAATTCGTGATCCTCAATTATTTGCGGATGACACCCTGGATGTACCCAAGAATGTCTGCGGGTAGTTTTAAAGTTGTCGGCATTTTTGCTGCCGGGACAGGGAGTCATTCATTGTTGAGACAGTACATGTAATTTCTTTAACCTGTATTGTACAGTATATGTGTGTGTGCATGTGTCTACAGTGGTCCCTCGGTTAACGAGCGCCTCGGTTAACGAGATTTTGGTTAAGGAATTACCTTCCATAAGATTCTTAACTTCGGTTAACGAGCAATCCCTCGATTAACGAGTTTCTTACGAGCTGACCTGAACATGTTTTCGCTTGCATTTGGCGGTTCACCAGCTGTAGTATTAGTCCGCCAGTACAGTAATCTGCTCTAGGGCTTAAATTCCTTACCATTTTAGTAAATATCAAGAAGTTTATACTATTCAATAATTTTAAAAGTTTAATATTAAATTTTTTAGTAATTTTAACAATTATTGAACATGCCATCCAGCCTGCCAACACACCATACAGGCGTCAGTCTTTGTGTCTTTTCAGTGGAGGTAACATCTTGCTTGAGACTCTCCAACTAAATGCTTTTTTTCTGTGTTTGCAAGCAAATTATTGGTCATTTTGAAATTTATTTTACATATTGACAATATATAATGCAGTGCAGTGTTGATTCAAAGAACATACCCTAATCTTGAATTACACCAAGAGAACTAAAATTTTATGGGTGAAATGGCACCATGGGGTGACGTCTCTTCCACCCCAATGCCTTCTCTTCTCCTCCACCCCCATTCTAATTCCCATCATCATCATCATCATCCAGGAGCCTTCTACATACACACCTCAAAGTAAGTGTACTTTTCTACCTTTTTTGTTGAATTTAGGCAATTTTCGGTGAGCTGGAACCAATTACCCCAAAACCCATTGAAACAATGGTTTCGGTTCATGAGTTTTTCGGTTAACGAGCAACCTTCTAGAACGGATTGTGCTCGTTAACCGAGGGACCACTGTACATACACACACATATATACAATACAGTGAACCCTCGCTTTACGCGTTTCTATATTTACGTGGTACCCTGCCAGAACCGGAATTCCCACTTTACGCCGTGCATCTACTCATATACGCGGGTGAAGTATAATTTTTTTATTTAGCTCATAAAATTCATACAAATTATCCAGCCAGAATATAATTTACATTGCTGGAATTCTTTCAATTTGATGATCGTTTTGAATATAAGCATCATAGATTTTGCATTAGACATACAAATTTTAGATCTACTTTAAGAATTTTGTTTACTCTGAGTAAATATGTTATCTTTTGTGCATAATACAGTCAACCCTCGCTTTACGCGGTCCCACATTCCGCGTTTCCACGTTTACGCGGTACCCTGCCGAAACCGGAATGCTCACATTCCGCGGTGCTTGTACCCCTTTACGCGGAGAGCAGCTGGCGAGCCGCGCCATTTTTGGATCAAAACCTCCCGCCATCTCTCCCGCCCTCTCCCACCATCCGCCATGTTGTGTAAGCGGCGCGAGCAGGGTGCGCACAAGGTCGCCCAGTCATCAAAACATTACTGAGTTCTTCACCCACCACCCACCACAGCCGGCCCAAGTCAGTGACAGTGATAATTATAGTGAGGATATGGACTTATATGGACTTTGAGGGGTTTGACAAAGAGGCCCTGCAAGCCTCTGTGGTTCATAGTGATACAAGTGATACAGGAGAAGGCCAATAATCTGCCCTCTGCCTCGGAACCAACCCCCCATCCCCGTGTGCCCAGCCATCTTTTCTACTAATGTAAGTGTTAAAAAACCTAATATTATTGATATTTCTCTTAATTATTAATTGTGTGTGCATACCATCATAAAATTAAGAAATTATTTTTACTACAACGTAGGTATTGTGTCTGAAAAAGTGGAGTTTGGGGGTCGGCCCTGTCTCTATTTCAATTAATCCCATAAGTTATGTTGTTCACTTTATGCGTTTCTCACTTTTCGCGGTACCCTGTGGGTTGAATTAACCGCGTAAAGTGAGGGTTCACTATATGATAATTTATATTCAAAATATTCCTGGTCTTACAAGAAATCCAGTAATGTCAATTATGTTATCCTAACTTTTGTCTGAGGTATTACAGTCGGCCCTTAACATACGCGGGGGTTACGTAACAGAGATACCCGTGGATGTTAAAAATCCGTGTATATGTGCTGCCCCCCCCAAAAAAAACCTGGTCCCCCCATGTCCTTATTTACCGTATATACCTGTGTGTAGTTCAAGTTTTTAAGACCAAATTATTTGGCAAAAAATTGGGGGTCGACCTCTAAACGGGTAATAGTTTCGTTAGGTTGAAAAATATTTACCAGTAACTACCAGTAAACAATGGAAATGACACACCAACACACCACCAGCTGTGAGTGTCGGTACAGTTGCTAGGGCAGATCTCTTGCGTCATCATAGCAAGCCCAAAGTAGCCAAATGCATGGTATGGTATGCACAGGACGATGTAAAACATAAAGTATTCATTTTTTAAAGTTTATTTATAGATACTGTACATAAATTTTTGTTCATTACATTTGAAACATCAATCTTTGTTAATTAAATTTGAAACAAAAGAAAACTACGATACCGTATTTCTAAATACCTGGTATTTTCATTAAAATATAACATCACAAGTATATTTTACCTTAACTGTGACTGAATGAATATAGGTATTCTCAGAAATAAATATGGAATTATAATATTTTTGCTGGAATGACGTACATATTACAGTGGAAAGACGA